ATCGCATCTAAATTGACGGGATCTGTAAACAACATTACCATAACTTTTAGATGTGATATCCAGTTTGAAATAATGATTCTACGTCTCAGTCAACAAACCTCCAAATTAAATCGTTGTATTTATGTAATAATTTGGTATCGGTCTCAAGAGTGATAACAAAATCCCCGGCTAAATAATTTACTTATTTTAACACATGTTATAATAGATTACGTTCATTGAAATTTAAAAACATTACTACAAACACAAGCATATCGAACGAGTAAGGAAATATACACACCATAAGAAGGAACGAAAGACGGAAACACGGAAAATTAACAACAAGGAGCGAAAAATAAGCCTGTTATGTTGCAAACCGTTTTCCCGTGTGGGACAGTAATATATAAATCCAAAAAGGGGAAAGTATTGCTGTTTATATTAAAAATACCTTGGGTAAATTGCTGCAGCATAATTATTTAAAATTCTTAATTTAAAGCAAAATGTAATCACTTAAGAAACAGTGAGTGTTATTATTTTTCTCTATTAAATTGAATTTAGACGGATATTTTTACTGAGTGTGGTTACAAAATTTGATTCTTGGCAATACAGATAAAGTCTTAAATTTATAGGGCACAATTGGTACCTATACGAATATCTACAACTTGTCTGTTAACTTTACTGTCTAAACGTATATACATGGGTTGTCTGCGGAAGCGGTTAACATTTTCTTGTGTTTTCATGTTTCTATTTTTTAAACCTTATGCTCTGTGAACTTGTCATCTATGTCGGCAGAGCTCACGATAAGAATTCACAAATTGGGGTTTTTACCCACCATTTTTTTTATGTAATTGGGTGATAAAGTTTTTAACTTGCATTATCAATTCCAATTCACCCCTCAAGCAAATATCAAATTGGGTTTTTCACCACCAAGCTCCTTAATGTATTGGGTTTTTTCATCAACACAATATTGAATGTTTAGGCATGTTATAATCACATTATATCAACCCCATGCAGATGTTTTTCCATCTTAAATGTGTTTCTTTCTTTGTATATATGCTAGCTGTTTTATTTGGTTTATTCACTGACGAGAAATTGTACGTTTAATTTGTGTCCGATTTTAAACGTTCTGCCAGTTTTGTATTTTCTCACAACTTATATAAACTGCAGCTGGTGTCACTAGTTGGACAGTTACTAATTACCTTTCTAGATCCCATATGATCACCCTACAGTTTAGTTGGGGTAGGCGTGGCTAAGTGTTTAGATTTTTATGTAATATATGTGAAATTTAGGTGCTGTAAGAAAGTTTTGCCAGTCCTTTCACCTACTTTTTAATAATAATAATAAGTATTTCCCAGATTTAAGATATACCCCAAAACCTTGACCAGGTTTATAGGTTTAATGATGGAGACCACATTCAACTTAAATTTACAGAGTTAAATTTACAAATAATTCTGCAACATCAAATAAATAAATGACAATGTTAATCTGCACTTGCCAATAAGACAACTATCATAAGCATACAGAACAATAAGACCAAAACAAAGAAAGTGTCAAGATGCATTGACGTAAAAAACGGATATATGTCAATGTATTCACTCATCAACTAAAATGAAAAAAATAATATATAAACTAAAATTATACTTGAATGTTTTTGTTTAATTTAATTTACATAAATCTGGGTTAAGTTGTCCCAGCTGATTAGAACTTTTGGTTTCTGATGCTTTCCAACTACATATATCATGTCGTAATTGTAAATACACCTTATCGCTATTCCCGCTTGACCCGAGAATCTGTCCCGCTCGAACTTTTGACGTCATACAACAATCACTTTTCCATTGTGGCGTCAGACATTTTCTATTATGACGTCAAAATTTTACGGGAACTTGTGTGATGTCCAGTAATGGCGGACAAATAGCGATAAGGTGTATTGATTTGGCCTTTCACTTTTTCCAACTGATTTCGTTCTTGACAAAACCCCGTGTTTATCGTTCTAGCAATGTTCTCGTTAAGGTACGCAAACGGGTCTTGTTATCATCATAATAACTTTCCCTAAAGTATCAAAAAGAAGCTGAAAACATGCTTCTATTCAATATTTTTATCGGATATTTACTTTCGTTTTACTTCATTGTATGTTATGATAAATCCCGAGCAATTCGAAAAAAAATATGACAACAAGACAAACGCTAATTGGATAAACGCCGAGAAGATCGAAATGTTTTCATAAACACGTGTACCTTTTGAGCAACGGAAAATTCCAACAGGGACCCATTTCGGCTACTTGATGCAGGGCTCTATTTTTAGAACGAAAAGGACATTTCCAATTATAAATATTATAAAAATAGATTTACGCGACGACTGTAATCAGATAAGGGTAAATAACGCAAACGATAGCGAATAAAAGCGTTTACTTAAGAACTCATGGTTTTGGCATATAATTGGGTTTTCCTTTGAATGAATTGGGTTTTTGAACCCTGCAATGGGCAATTGCATTGGGTTTTTAATTATTTGTATTGCGTGATCACGCAAATACGCAGCTTATCTGGAGCTCTGAATTGTCGGAATATCATATTTAAGCTTAGTTGATAGCACAAGGTATACAAGTCTTTAGGTTATAAGGGAAAGAGAGTGAGTAATCTCTCCCATTTCTGTTCGGCAAAATGGGTCGATGGGATTCAAAAACATGATATGTTATTTCTCGGGAAGGAAATATGGACTTCTAATGGTAATTACACTGGCACAAAGTCATACTTCATCTGCTGGTGGACTGTCAGTCCCCGTTGATATCACCAGCCCAGTAGCCAGTACCAAAGTCATGCAAATTCTGATATTGATTGATGAAAATTAGCTTTTTACAATTTTATTTTTAAATATTTTTAGACTAAGGAATATATCTCCGTCCTGCAAAGCTCGAATTCCTTATCCAGAATTGGCTTTACTTTATGTCCTTTCTCTTCAACGTTTGTATAAGATTTTGGATATTCAAATATTTTTGCCCCAAGCATCACTGAAGATACATTGATTGTCGAAATGCGCATCTAGTGCATTAAATTTGGTACCGTTTATGGTATAAGTCATTTATGATATTTGCCAAGAAGTATGGATAGATTATAATTGGACGAACTATATGAATAAAAGTGAACATGTTGGTGAACAGGAGAGCAACGTTGAATCACATTGCAATTCAGATTTTTTTCTGTTAGAAACTTTTGCTTTAAAACGTTACAAATGTTTTATAATTAAAGCATAACGTAGTTTAATAGTTCTAATCTCTTGTTTGATACGTTGTTTTTATACAAAGTACAATATGCCCGATCCTAAATCAAGACATTAATTTGTATTAACTTCGGTCATATTTATGAAATATTGTTGAATACATTGTATCCTTCTCCTTTATTTCGTGATACATACTATTAATACACAGGCACTTGTCTCTGAAAAATGTGTTGCATATTATATTATTTTGATATAACAGTATATAGGTCATGATTTTTTCAGTGACGAGCGCCTGTGATACTAAAGTGAGGCAGTTGTCTCCTCGAGGTTGTCGGCTCAATGTCCTAATAGAAGCTACACCACTGATGTCACACAATTCAACATTTCAATAAAATAACGGTCATAATACATTCTAAATTATTTAACGTAATTATGCCTAGATCTGACATGACCTGCTTGACCTTTATATTACATGTATAAGATACCGTATAAATGTGCCAGTGGACTGCACTCTTTTTTTATAACCGCGAAAAGCTGTAATGTTTTTAATAGTCTGCCATACATATTTTAAAGGTATTTTTTCTTAGGTTAAAGTAAGACTTTCTTGAAAACGTATTATGCGTCTTGACCTGACTGAACTTAATACTACATGGATAATATACCGTATACATGCGCAAGATGACTGCATGCTTAATTTTTTTATAACCACGAAAAGCTGTGTTATTTTGCCGGTAAGGGAGCTACCATTTGATTTTTTTAGGGGGGGGGGGGGGGGCTAGGATGAAAAATGTTGTCCTGCATTTTTTTTAGTTGTAATCTCGGTCCTGCCTTTTTATTTTTCACTCTATACGGTCCTGCCTTTTTTTTCTATTAATTTATCCTGACTTTTTTTACATAATTTGCCATCCTGCCTTTTTTTTTTTTGCAAAGTTGCTCATCCTGCCTTTTTTTTTACTCAAAACTCCTGTCCTGCTTTTTTTTAAAATTTCATCCTAGCCCCCCCCCCCCCCTAAAAATCAAATGGTAGCTCCCTAACCATGTTTTAATACCACTCCCATTCTAGCTATCTCTGCAAGTCCACCCAACGACAAATATTTCTGATGTTGATGACGTTTTTGTGATTCATTAAAAACTTCCATCTCTGTTCATGCACATATATACGATCATATACTTTGTACAGTCTGTCTAGATAATTATATAACATTTATCATTTCTCTAAAATAAAACTAGTTTCACAGAAAACCGTGAAGCATCTTCTTTAGGCAACGACCATTCAAGTTATCTTTTATATATGGGGTGCATGGTTTTGTATCTTGGGACACACATTTCTTTCGATATTTTTTCAATAACACAGGAACAAATTTATTTAAGCTCGATGTTGAATTCATTATTTCCGTAAACTAATTTTCGATGGAAATGCATCCCTTCTGCATTTTTTTTTCTCTCCGTCAAGAAATAATTATTCAAAACAAACCCATGCCCTAAAAAAAGATAAATGGTCGGTTACCCCCATTTTACGCTTGCCTAGCTTGTCCCTCGTGGCTGAAGGAACAATTAACCAATGTCCATAGATCAAAGAAGGTTGTCCCTGGATAAATTGCGATTTCTTAACAACGACAACATAGGACAGGTGAGCTGCGTGCACAGTTCAAGGTCAAATCTAAATTATATTTTTTTACGATGAAAAACTGAAAAGAAGAAAGAAACGATTTAAAAAATATAAAAAAATTTGTGTAAGCAAAAATGATTGATTTTGTATTTTTTATTATTGGTTAAAATCAATGAATGATAATTAATAAAAATTTTGGTCAAATCTAGCCCCGGGCTGTCCTGTTTCGCGCGCTTCAAACGTCGTCCATATTGTATTTCATGACATACGAGAAAGATGTTATACCTTTTGCTCCTAGATAAAAAGGCTTATGACGAAGATTCAGTGACAAATACATAGTTACAGTGAGTTTATTAAATGAAACGGAACATTTTACCATTGCAACATCCAATGTTTTGACAACTTTGTTTATTTTTAATGTTCATCTTAAAAGTTTATAGATCAGCTAAAAGTTCTAAGGGAGCTGCCATTTGATTTTTATGGGTGGGGGGGGGGGGGGGGGGGGGGGTGTAGGATGAAAAATTTATTTTATTTTGTCCTGCATTTTTTTTAGTTGTAATCTCTGTCCTGCCTTTTTACTTTTCTTTATTTGGTCCTGCCTTTTTTTTTTTTTTTAGTTTATCCTGGCTTTTTTTTTTTATAAATTGTCATCCTGCCTTTTTTTTTGCAAAGTGTCTCATCCAGACTTTTTTTTTACTCAAAACTCTTGTTCTGCCTATTTTTTTCAAATTTCATCCTAGCCCCCCCATAACAATCAAATGGTAGCTCCCTAAAGGCTGAAATGGCTGAGTTTTATTCTTTGATTACAGACAAACATTTGCATCTGGAAAATTTGATTGCATGGCCCAGATAAATTGGGGTGGGAAAGGGGGGTGCAGCAGGGGCAGAAGGATTTTGAAAATGAAAATCCTGGCCTGGTTAAAGCTGAAAGTAAATAATCTTGCACAAGACGAGATAAAAATTTCAGCTATTCTGCAACTCAAAATGCAGGAAACTTAAATCATTTGTTAAGGTGTCCAAATTTAAAAGTGAAAATAATATTAACAAATTCAACATTTAACGAGTTACATGTTGTACCATGCAAACAAACTACATCTGAGAATACTTATAATAACACATGGGGTCGGTCTTTTCACCACCGAACACCCAAAAAGACCACTTACCCTTAAGAAAAATAGTAATGTTACACAATAAAATCAATTAAATTGCGTAAAATTTAATCCTATGGTCATGTTTTTCACATTTTTATGTGCATTAGTGATAATTAATGTTTTAAGTTGAGAATTAAAATAAAATAAACAAAAAAAAAAACGCTTCTGGATCCAGCAATATTTTTTTCCGGATTTACATTGTCTGTATTTCCTTGTATATTATCTTATGGTCTTTAATTTTCAATAATTAGAAATAAATTGTTCAAATAAGTTAAAACATTTTATTACATTGGTTGCAATGAATTACATTGATTTCCCAGTGAAATAAAAACCGATAATTTCACATGTGAAATAAACGTGGTTATTTCAATCCTCTGACGTCATACAACAATAGGCGTTGTCAAGACGTCGAAAACGTCGGATCAAAACAAATTGTGAATGCGTAGAAAAAGATATAGTTCCTTACGTTTTCTACTTTAATTTCATAAAAAAGCCATTTGCCAATGTAATAAAAAGAATAACTAATCAAAGAATTCAAATATCGAAAAATATTCAACTCGTGACCGAACAACACTGATAATTAACTCATGCGCTTCGCGCATTCGTGAATTAATGTGTTGTTCGGTCACTCGTTGAATATTTTTCTCTATTTGAATTCTTCGATTAGTTATTCTATAATTATTTAATGTGAAATTATCACAATAATTATATTTAAAAAAACTGTTAAGACTTGAAAGTGTACTGTTCTGACAGCAGCCCTGCACGACTGTTCTTTTGGTTCTCTTGTTATCATTTCTTAATCAATTGGTGCATCGAATGTTGCAGGTTATTGCCATAATAAGTAGAAAATGCTCTTTTGCCATTTTCTGCTTAAATACAGGCTCAACAAATAATATATCTCATTACAGAGGGATAATTTTAATCAGCTGTAGGAGGTTAAGGAAATCATTATACAAATATTGTCACCATATATGGGGTTTGGTCCCAACCTTTTACAGAGTGTTGGAAATTAAAGAATTGTCTCCAATTGTATAATAATAGAATAATTTCATTATTTGTGTCAATATTTACTGACTGTTTGAATCGTTGTTTTCAGGCTTCCAGTTCAGTGTTTGTAATGAGCCACACTAGACAAAACACTGTGGCAGGCAACACTAGACAATTTAAGATGATGGAAATGGCAGGTTGTTTCATGGTAAGCATCTTTTGTGATTAATTCACTCATTATCTCCTAACTTTAATCAAAGTCTTCCAGGTTGGTCAGTAATAGGGACAACCTGCCAAATAGGGTATATAATACTTTAAATGAGTAACAATCTCTCTATTTACTCAATAACGTATATTATCAAAGTATTAAATATGAATTTATTTCCACGTCCAATGGAAGGAAGGAGGGTTTGTTGGTTAAATATGTCAGTTCATCTGTCCTCATTTTTATCAGTCTTTGGAATACCAAATTTAATTCTGAAATTTAGACAGTATCAAGCTTCAATTGAGCATGCAATACAGAGATGTGTAAACTATTATTAGGGCCTTCTAATAGGACGAGGGATCCCTTTATTTTTCAATTTGTCCATCTGTGTTTTTTGTCCACAATTTTCTGTGAACGCACAAACCAAACAAAATTTTGCACAGTTAATTTGTCTTATCTGTAAATGTGCATTAAAGCCTCTCTTGTGACGAAAGTCATGGAAAGTAAAACATAGGGATTGTTTTTCTGGCGACAATGACAGTTTCGGCTCTGGCGTCAACAATTGTCAAGTTTTCTGCTCAAGTTAATTTGAAAGGAACTAACTGTGCTAGATTCATGATATTTTGTATGAAGTCGCTTTACTATCAGGACATATATCAGTTTGACGACTATTTTGTGGCCCTGCCCCTAGATCCTAGGGGCTTTGAATTAATTAGCAATTTTCTATGTTAATTAAGTTGTTCTGCTTAAGTCAGTTAAACGATAGAATCTATTTGTGAGTAGATCAATGATATTTTGTATGAAGTCGCATTTCTATCAGTTCCTATCAATATATATATATATATATAACTTAAGCAGAAAGTCGTAACACTGAAAATTGCTAAATAATTCAAAGGTACAATAAACAACGATATTTTCTATAAAGTTACATAACGGTCTGTCCATCTCTGTGTTTGTCGACCATGATTTCCAGGCCCTGCCCACTTGATCTTGGTCTAGTGACTGATTTAATAAGCAATCTTGCTGTCCATCAAATTGTCTTTTTCTGAATTTTATGCTAAAAGGCAAGACATGTCTCCCGTGTCAACTGTTACGCCTGCAGTTAATATAAGCATTAGCATTTCTCTTTTCCATGGAGGTTTATATTTGGCCCTGCACCTTCAGTCATGTTTGCACTAGTACATTGTCGGCACCCCCTAATCTCCCCAATAAATTTCAGGTAAAAAAAACTATTTGTAACTGTTGGAAAATGTCTAATGAAACTGCGATAGTTTCACAAATTGTGTGTGGTTGTTTGCGGTATTTTCATGGTAAACCCATTTTCCATCATCAAACAGAAGTTGAAACTGCTTGTAAATGATTCATTCTAGTACACTTCACGATTGTTAAAGTAAGTCAAAATCACACAAAAAACAATTTAGACTGAAGATAGCAAGGGAAATCAAAATCAATCAGACTTCAGTTAAAGTATACTATTTTGAAGCTTTTGATAAGTACATTTGATTTTTATCACAAAGAATAGAATTTTTTCACTGAGAACAATACTGTGTTGAGAAACGTGCTGAGTCATCATAATAAGTCAAATCGATGGGTACTGATATAAAACTTTATTCTAGGATTTCAATATTAACTATATTGTATAAAATGCACCAAACTATAGTTCTTTTGTATTTGTTTTCACCTTTCGCAATGATTAATTCAATTGGAAACACCAGAATTCAAGTCGCGACAAATATTTTTAACTGAAACATTTGCCTTTTTTGCTGTGTAATTCCCTAAATGTATCACTTGTGTATTTCTGTATACATAATCTATTAAAATGGGAAATTGTCAGGTTAAGTTTGTACTGTTTATGGAGTAAGGCAATATTTGGTCATACTAGAAGCATTTTCAGTGTTAAAATTGTCCATCTAAGAAAAAAAGAGGCCCACTTGAGGCTAAATTTAGATAGAATTTATACTCTCCTGTGTAAAGAATTGGTCATATTCTTGGCAATTCATGCAACAAATATTTCTATAGTGCTTCATTTTGTAGTTTCTATCTTTAATTATATCAGGCATGTATAATTTTTCATTTTCTACTGTTTGAAAGGACTTTTGTTGGAAATTAATACTCCCAAGGGACATAATTCAGCTTTTTCATAGATTAATACAGGCAACAAAGGCAACTTTACAGCTGAGTATTTTGCATATCTAATGTTTAAAGTGTCTAATATCTTTGTTTTCATCATCTCAAGACAGAATAATGGATTTTATAACAAGCACTGAAATTTGGAACCACAATATGGCATATACTAAAGCATGGAATGGCGATTAGTATGAACAATCTTGAATTTGTGCTTATGTTGTAAATTTTGGATAAAATGAATACAAATTAAATGGAACCGTCATTTTTATCTGTTTAAATGGAACTGTTTATTATTCTTTTTAAATAAGATAAGATATGATTGGATACAGGTTGTTTATTAAGCCTTATCTGAAAGAAGCAGAGAAAGAGGTAAACCAGCATGTAGGGGTGGGGACATTAAATGATCCATGTTTCTTTAAGTAATGGGAACATACAAGTATTTATTACAGCCAAGGTTTTCACAATAACCCAGTATTGCATTAATGGTGTCATAAGAATTCTTTATATCTTTATGTCACAGTATAGGGAAAACGGTACTATTACATTTTCCCAGCATTAGGTTGGCCTTTTGTGTACCCAAGGCAGGTGAAGGAAGTCAACTTAGGAGCGCTGTGATTGGATGTTAGGGTACAATATATTTTTTTATTTATCTATGAATAACTGCAGAGTGTATATTTACAATATAAATTTTGAAACCTATTGAAATATTTTCTAGAAAATTATTCGAAAAGACTTAAAAAATTTCATAAATTTGGTGTAAAATGACGGTGGGCATGGATAACATTAACAAGCTCCGTTGGAAGTTGGTCGTGATACTATTTGGCTTCAATTTTTAAAACAGAATAATAAAGTACTAACACCACACATAACTGTTTTATCCGGGTTTTTATTATAAAAAGTGGTAAATTTAGAAAATGTTAGTATTGTCGCCTTTGGCAGAATAAATAGTACCGTTTTCCCTAGAAACCTGTGTATGTTTAAACCAGAAGTTTGAATAGCACATGTAAAAGAAAATAAAAACGGTGAGAGTCGAAATCCGTACTTAACAGATATCACTATAATACAACTTTGAAAGTAAAACAGTTCCATGCATGCATATCCTAAATGTGTAAAACAATGTTTAATATATCTATCACATTAATGTTTGAAGGGTCTTAAGCTAATACAAAACATATTCGTCTGTATGAAACACCAAAATGGAACGAATATAGTCCGTTTGACCCAGCAAACACAAAAACATCTTTAAAATGTTTTTAAAATGTTGTGTCTAATGTCATGAAAATATCACAAAAAACGTGAGAAAAACATTAAATGTATGGTAGAATATATATCGCTAAAACTTTTTCTAATATATTTTCTAAAATATTTGCATAATATAATTAAAATGTTGTAAAGAAATATCATGATAATGTGAAAAACAATGGCGTATAAAACATTTTGATAATCTTTTAAAAAATATTTTCTAGAAATATTTTCTGAACGTTTGAAAAACATCATGAACATCAAATAATGTTATAAAAATGTTTTTTGGATGTTTTCTTGCAAGTGAGACTGTGCCTAAAAAATGTTTTCAAAATGTTTTAAGAAGATGTTTTTGGTTGATATCTAGATCATATCAATATAAAAATTTCTGTACTTTTCATTGAGTTTCCTGCTTTTTTAAATAACAAATCATTAGTTAAATTAATTTATACACAGTGATTAATTCTATATACAAACAAGAATAAATCAGTTGTTTTGCTAAGCATATGAAATTCACAATTCAAAGTCTCTAAAAACAAGAAGTATCTACAAATTTTGACACATCCAAAATGGCAGACACAACTCATCATGGTCAAGCCACTTACCAAATATGAAGTCATTCTGTTCATCAGCATTACTAATTAAAGTAATGAAAAATTTGAGAACATTCAACATTTTGAAAAACAATGTATAAGCAAACAGGAAACAGGTGCCAGATACAAAAATGTTCACACATCACAGTTCATCACTATCAAGCAGCTCATTAAATATGAACTCATCTTTATCAGCAGTTTTGGGAAAAACAGTGATGAAAATATTTGTTGGAAAAAATCCAACAAATATAGGTGGACAGACGACATGCAGACAGTGCAAGAAAGCCCACATTCCAACCACAATGTTATAATGTTTAGTTTTTCACTCTCAACTTTTATTACCTATCTTACACACATCAGGCATATGTCAACATGAACATGCATGACATATATGCCATTGGGCATTATACAAACATTATACACATTTTTAAGTTCAAGTTACATTGACTAAAACTTGTGTCCCAAATTCAGAATTTTCAATACAACTTCTCTTTCTAAACTAAAACGCTACACTTTTAATAGGGTTACATCTTAAGTCAATAATCATTGATAATTGGCTGAAGAGATGAGAACAAAACACCATTTTACATCAACTATTTGATTTATTTAAGAAAACATTGAAAAAGTCAATCAATTGTCTTATTCAAAATCACTTGGAATGTCTTGTAGTGTCTTATATCTTTTTCTTGCTGTGCCATGCCGCTGAAAAAAAATTAATCTTACATTCATATATAAACTTCTTGCACATTCCTTTATTATAGAACGATTCACGTTGCCTGAAGGATATACATCCCCTCCCCTTTAAAGTTTTGAAACAAATAACGATGATAGTCTGTGGGAAGGGGACGATAAATGGCTGACCGTGTTAAGAGAGAGCAATATGCCACGCTGAACTTCATTTAGTTATTAAAAAAAAAACACATAAAAAACTTTAGACTAGATATGTGTCCAGTCAAGAGTCTTATTTCATTATACTCATTGATTGTTGTCTATCATATTTTTTTTTCTTTTATTGTTTTGTATAAATCAGGCTGTTGTTTT